TTCCGTTGGACTGGAGGGGGTCAGGGTAACAGTGACCACCACTAAAGAAAATCATGCATAACACCTGTGCTGAGAACACTGCCCTGCAGAGGCTGACATCCAGACCGAGGTCAGTGACCTCTCTTAGCCCCACTGTGCTGTGCCCTCGATCTGTCTTGTCTGTGGGGCTCTAGAGGGGAGTGAGGGCTCTGAGTGTTCAGGCAGACAGAGGAGGGGTGGGGAAAGAAATTCAGAGAGAACGTGAACCTCTGATTACATGATCAAATTAGAGTTCGCTGCTGTGGACTGTCTCATGACCTCCTCCAGATTCCTATGTTGAAGCTCAACCCCCAGGTGATAGTATTTGCAGGTGGGGCCTTCAGAAGATATTTAGGCTGAGATGAGGTCATGAGGGGCCCCTGTGATGGGAATAGTGCCCTTATAAAAAGAAGGGCACCAGGGCTTGCTCTCCATCACATGAGGACACCGCAGGAAGGCGGTGGTCCTGGTCTGCAAGTCAGGAAGAGAACTCTTACCAATTAATGAATCTGCTGGCACCTTGATCTTGGACTTCTCAGGATCCAGAGCCATGAGAAATAAGTGTCTGCTGTTTAAGCCTCCTGGTCAGTGGTATTTTGTTATGTCAGTCCAAGGAGGCAAAGACAACTGCACATTCACCCCAAAACGGGCTATTTTAATAATTGGATTTTATTACAGAAATCATTTGAATGGATTAAAATTCAAATAAGAATGGCACATAAGACATTTACTGTGGCTGTTTATAGAGTGCTCAAGACCCAGAACTGTCTACATCAATTTTAAGAATAAACTTCCATGTTCAGACATAGCTGTGAGAGACTCAGAATGGTTACACATGTCCCTAATGTTAGATCTCAGACCCAAAGAACATCTGTTATCTTCTCCACACCTAGTTCTTGTTTGCAGCATCCATACCCACCCAGTTGCCCAGTTTTGAAACTGGCCCCCTCCTTGACTCCTCCCTTGGTACACCCGTTATTAAGCCATACTCCTTCCTCTTAAATATGTCTAAACTACGACCACCTACTGCCTTCATTGCCACCATCCCTCCTTCTCAGATCTCTGCCACCACATCCCAACAGGTCGTCTTCTCTGGCTCTTCCTGTTTTGGACAATGATGTTGGAAGCCCTGGGGCAGCCTAAGGAGAAATTCTGGGGCCTTTCACAACCACGAGAGGAATCCAGAGGCTTTGGGACTCACCAGCAAAGGATACAGGGTGGCCATCGAAGAAGAATGACCTATATAATTTGCAGTTTGGGAATGGGTGGCGATCTGGGGTTTCTAGAAAAGAGGTTAAGTTTGTTATCAGTCTCTTCTTAGCCAAATGATTCATGTGTGTAATGTATGGGTGCTGATCATGTTAGGAGCTGTCAGTACTGTTCTTCAAGATGGTGAGTAAGTTTTGCTTAAATGACATAATTGCATTTGTTGCTGTATGCTGGGTCTTAGGACTATTAGCTCCCCATAAGCCATCCCTTCACTAGATCTGAAGTCAAGGAATCTGCAAGAGAGGCGGATATTTTTTCCCTAATAATCATTTCCCCTCCTTCAATAATAAAACTCCCAAATTTTAGCCGGACGGAGGGCCATCCACAGTAAAGACTACATGTCTTAACCCCCTTGCAGCTAAGTGTAGCCACATGATGAAGTTCTGGCCAACTGTGTGTTATTCTGAGTAGCCTATGGAACTTTCAGGAATTATCTTTAAAGGGAAAGGGCATTCTTTTTCCCCCTATCTATTTTCCTCTTCTGGCTGGAATATGGATATGATGGCTGGAGCTAGATCAGCCGTTTTGGATTATGAGGTGAAGGTCTATGTTGAGGATTGGAGGAGCACAGGTCCCAATGACCATGGAGCCACTGTACTAGCTCTGGGCTCCTATGTTTATGTGAGAAATAAACTTCCACTTTGCTCCAACTATGCTACTTTGGATAGAATGCTGCAAATATCATCAAAACATAGCACTAGCTTAGCAGAATTAGGAGGCAGTGGATGGCAAGAATAGATACTATCTTTTATATAATAGTTAAACATTTGATGAAATTGGATGGACCACATGCTGACTGAGGATATGGCCATAGAGGAAATGGTGGGAGAATGCCAAAGGGTGAAAGCTGTTCCTTGTTGCTTTTCACAAAGTCATATAAAATTGGGATGAACAAGGGCTAGAGCCAGCAGGACTGCAGCAGAGATGGAAGGCAATCCTGCTTTACTAAGGGAGGCACTGGCTGGAGCCTGTGCTCAAAACTGATTAAAGTCTTGAAGCACAGAAAATGCCAACTGCCTTTTGCCAAACTGCAGCTATTAAAAACAGTGGCCTTGAAGTGGCAACCTGGGCAGGAGACAAGACTGGCGACAGCAAACCACTGCTGAGACTTCTTTGCCAGAAAACACAAACCAGTAGCTCCAAAGATCAGACTGAAGGTTTTGCTTCCTCCCTCAAATTTCTTGGTCAGGAGGCCCTAAGGTCACTGTCTTTAAGTTGAGATGAGGCACAGGAAGAAGACATAACACTGGACTAGACCCGATCTTTGGCTGTGGGTACTTGGTGGAATTCTATTGGCAGAGAAACTATAACCCTTGGTCATCTCCAAACTGCCCCAGGAGTAAGCAGGCCTACAAAAGCTCTACATTCCCACCTTGGATATGGCTATGAAGGTCAATGGGCAAGGAGGCCCTCCTGGAGAGTGGGACTGCTATGGCAGGTGGTATCCAAAGGACTTGCTGGCCTGCCAGAAGCATCTTCACTATTCCTGCAGTGGGAGTGCATAACCACCCACAGAAGTGTTTCCTATTCATTCAGTTTTCAATGGCTGTTTGCTGTTTCTACTTCACTCCTGTTTATGGGATGCATTGGGAGAAGATAACTTGAGTTTATAGGTCATTAGACCACAAGAAGTCACCCAGAGCTGATGGAGAAGACCACAAATCATTCAAATGAGATTTTCATTTTAGGTCCATGCCATATCTGGAAGGGTTTAGGTTATTCACCTTAGTGGAGACGAGGCATGGGCTCCACATGAGCTACGAAAGGTGAGACCTAAGGGCTGAGCTATGGCAGAGACTACTAATTGTCCCTCAAGCCCATCCTTTCCTTGTTCCTCAGAAATAGAACTCCTGAATTTCAATTAGGCACATAGCATCTGGGAATAAAAACTACCTTTCCCAGACTTCTGTGTGGTAGCTATCTCCCTGGACGTTCAGATGAGTGAAATGTACAACGTCCACACAACACACCCTGAGGAACAAGTCTCGCTTTTCTCCTCCCCTCTCCTCCATTCTGTCCGCGGGAATGTGACCGTGGCTGGTGCCTCCATAGATACTATCTTTTATATAATAGTTAAACATTTGATGAAATTGGATGGACCACATGCTGACTGAGGATATGGCCATAGAGGAAATGGTGGGAGAATGCCAAAGGGTGAAAGCTGTTCCTTGTTGCTTTTCACAAAGTCATATAAAATTGGGATGAACAAGGGCTAGAGCCAGCAGGACTGCAGCAGAGATGGAAGGCAATCCTGCTTTACTAAGGGAGGCACTGGCTGGAGCCTGTGCTCAAAACTGATTAAAGTCTTGAAGCACAGAAAATGCCAACTGCCTTTTGCCAAACTGCAGCTATTAAAAACAGTGGCCTTGAAGTGGCAACCTGGGCAGGAGAAAAGACTGGCCACAGCAAACCACTGCCGAGACTTCTTTGCCAGAAAACACAAACCAGTAGCTCCAAAGATCAGACTGAAGGTTTTGCTTCCTCCCTCAAATTTCTTGGTCAGGAGGCCCTAAGGTCACTGTCTTTAAGTTGAGATGAGGCACAGGAAGAAGACATAACACTGGACTAGACCCGATCTTTGGCTGTGGGTACTTGGTGGAATTCTATTGGCAGAGAAACTATAACCCTTGGTCATCTCCAAACTGCCCCAGGAGTAAGCAGGCCTACAAAAGCTCTACATTCCCACCTTGGATATGGCTATGAAGGTCAATGGGCAAGGAGGCCCTCCTGGAGAGTGGGACTGCTATGGCAGGTGGTATCCAAAGGACTTGCTGGCCTGCCAGAAGCATCTTCACTATTCCTGCAGTGGGAGTGCATAACCACCCACAGAAGTGTTTCCTATTCATTCAGTTTTCAATGGCTGTTTGCTGTTTCTACTTCACTCCTGTTTATGGGATGCATTGGGAGAAGATAACTTGAGTTTATAGGTCATTAGACCACAAGAAGTCACCCAGAGCTGATGGAGAAGACCACAAATCATTCAAATGAGATTTTCATTTTAGGTCCATGCCATATCTGGAAGGGTTTAGGTTATTCACCTTAGTGGAGACGAGGCATGGGCTCCACATGAGCTACGAAAGGTGAGACCTAAGGGCTGAGCTATGGCAGAGACTACTAATTGTCCCTCAAGCCCATCCTTTCCTTGTTCCTCAGAAATAGAACTCCTGAATTTCAATTAGGCACATAGCATCTGGGAATAAAAACTACCTTTCCCAGACTTCTGTGTGGTAGCTATCTCCCTGGACGTTCAGATGAGTGAAATGTACAACGTCCACACAACACACCCTGAGGAACAAGTCTCGCTTTTCTCCTCCCCTCTCCTCCATTCTGTCCGCGGGAATGTGACCGTGGCTGGTGCCTCCATCGCGGACCCCAGTGTACATGGCTGCATACTGGGGAGGGCCGAGCAACAAGTCAGAAGGAACCCGGCACCCCAGGGGTCCTGGAGCCACCTGGCAGTCCTGCACAGTAGTCGGTAAAGAGATTCCGCCTTTCTGTAAACTACTGTTGTCATGACAGCTGAACCTGATTCTAATCTAGAACCTGCCACGCAGGTCAAGGCTTCTGACCAGAAGGAAGGTAGAGATGGGCCCAGAGCACTCTCCTCCCAGAGGGTTAACATTTACTTTAAAAAAAAAAAAGCAAACAAAATGAGAAAACAAGTCCAGAAAATCAAGACATCAGAATAAAAGCATCAACACACAATAACAGTGTTGCATAGCTTGAAGGTTTTTATATTGATCAAATTGTATTTCAGCAGAGTCACTGTAAGAACAGGCCAGAATGAAAAACATTCCAAATTTACAGACAAAATATCGCTGATCAATTAAGATACTTTTCAAAACGACACGACTTAACACAAATCCCTTGGTTGTTCCAGATGGAACGTGAGTTATAAGAGATGCTGGACGGCCCGACCATCAGACCGCCCCACCCCTGCTTGGTTCCTCAGACTAAGGTCAGAGTCTCTGCAAGAACTGAGGGACCAGCTTTTGGAGACAAATTCTAGAAACGTGATACATCTCTATCTAGTAGCTTACTGGAGGCTTGGGCTTAGGATTAATCTCGATTCTCTGGAACACAGACTCCCAGAATGGTAGACGTTGAAAAGAACCAGAGGGCTCATCTAGTCCAGCCCAACCTCCCTTTCACTGATGAGGAAAGTGAGGGCCAAGGGTGACATATCTTGTCTAAGTCTAGTCTGGACCCACATCCTGCCTCTAACTGCCTCTCCCCATTGACGCTGCCTCCTCGATGCCTCTGGTTCTAAGATAACTTCTATGAGAAACAAAAAAACGTCAACCAGCAACTGCAGCAACAGCCTCTGTGCTTGTCTCAAAGCAAAGTGAAAAATGAAATTACTGTGGTAGGAACTGAAGACCAGCCCAAGTTTCTTCTCTAACCCTCCTGCCCCAACTGAACTGAGTTGAATCTTTTCTTCTGGAAAGTCAAACAACATCAAGTGCAGGTTCTAAGGAGTGACACCAAGAGAGACCTCTCATCTTATGTCTGTACACTGATGTCTAAGTAGATCTTCTGAGAGCGCCAGAATGCAGGATGTAAATGTCTTCTCCATGCATACTACAATTTCCCAGGCAAACTATCTATCCTGATTTTGATGAAGTTCTTCACTTACAGCTAATAAGGGCTTCTTAGGTCCAACTGCATAAGTGTATAAGGTGGTGAAGCAGAAATCCTGAACTCCCCAATCTGATGATCAGTAGCATCTATAGTATCTACTTGCACGTTTTACTCCTTTTGATAATTCTCTTGTGCTGTTCTTCCCCAGGATTGCATGGATTTTGTTCCAGGTAACATCTGCTGAGTCTGAACTACTGGCCTGCACAGTGGCGGAAAAAGGCTGGTGGCAATCTTTGGTAAACTTTTGGGTAATCGATGTAAAATAATGGCAGCATTTCTGCAACCATATTAAAAAATGCATTTCTTTAAAAACAAAACAAAACAAAACAAAACACAAATCTCCAAACTCATTTAGACTTCACAAGCTTTTTATACACAGGGCGGTGGTGCCTTTTTTATCAAATGGCAATGATTTGCTCAGCATCCTGATGGCATTTCAATTTACTTCAGCCGTCTCTCTTTTTTGGTGCCCGGCTGGTGGAATTTTCTGAGTCTGGATTGAATAGAAGTACTTGCATGATATGCCTTTGTGCCCTTGGTTCTCTTGAGAATAAAAGTGATTTCCTCTTACAAAAACCTCAGTGATTCTACTTCTGCTTCATGGGTTTAGGGGCTAGTCACTAAAAAATTAATTTTTCCAAGCAATGCATCCAGAGCAGTGTCAGATTCCAGCTGATGAAAACTTTAATAGCGTGATCTCATTCAATCCTCATATTTGACCTAGAGTCCTCAGTATTATTTAGTTTGCCTATTTTACAGATGAGAAAATGGAGGTTAACGCTTTCAGGTGACTAGGACCAGGGCAAGCTGTTGAGAGGAATCAGAAACTAAATCCCCCAGCCCTTAGCTCCAAGCCTTGCTGTTACACTCAGCTAGCTTGGCATCATACTGACAAGGTTGGGGCTTCGTCATCTCCTGTTGCCCAGCGTGGGTTATGACACTGTACAACAGCTCCCCCAACCCCTGTCATTTAACAGTAAAATGCCAATGGGGAAAAGATGGAAAGAATGCAGGAAATATGCTAGGTCTGGAGACAAAGAACTTTAGAAACCTGGCCCCTACATAAAGGTCTTTACCCATCTTGTGACCAAGAAACGTTTTTGCTCAATTGGTCTGGAGTTTGCTAAACATCAAAACGGCCTCATATCAGTGCACTGTAACATGAAACCATCCTTTTTCTATAAATCCTGTCAAGAAATTGGATACTTAGCTGCTTTTTCTGGATACATAAAACTACTATTTCAAAATACCACATTCAAATTTTCACGTAATTTATTTTCCTTAAATAATAATTTGCTACAATCCTGTCACAAATTAAAAAAAAAATTAACAGTATTAACAAAGGCAGAATTCTTTAGGACAATCAAAATCTTGGTGTACTTAGAATAAATTAACATCAAATTGTGTTTGTATTCAGATAGTCTGATCCTCTCCTTTGAAATGAAATGGAGACCATTGTAACTAAGAGTGAATGCACACATTTGTTCTTCTATACAGAGACTCATTCTTTATATAAACTCAACTGTAATTTGAATCAAGTTAGGAATCCTGACAGACACTCACCCGTGGGCGCACACACACAACACAACACACAGATACACATCCACAGGCAACCCTCTCGAAGCTGGGTTTCCCGTGGTTCAATGTCTAGATCTTTCCTCGGAAGGGCCAAAGATTCTGAATGTTTAGATGACATCCCATCTCCCCTCAGGAAAATCGTAATGGTTCAAGTGTAATAGCTCGAAGTAGCAGCAATCCATGTATTAGATTCAGTAGTGGATGATTCCAGTCCTGGGCGCTGGGCGTGCAGCAGGAGGGAGGCAGACACAAGAGGCACCTGCTCCGAAAGCTCACACGTGGGGCGACACCGGGAGTCCTCACTCTCAGAGTCTCAGCTGAGAACTCACCTGAAACCTGCACTGCTCGTCCGGTTCAGGCACTGGTGGGAACCTGAGGAGGGTCACTAATGCAGGGAGGAGGCAGGGCACGTGGACATGATTCTCAGAAACGCCAAACGGCAGACGTGGCAGGGAGACTGGACAAAGGAAGGGAGGGCACAAGGGCACAAAGGCACGGCTTGTCCTCTGCCTGAGACCCCACCCCCTGCCACTCAGCACATCCATGGGGTCCCCCGAGCATCACCGAGGCTGGGAACACTGTTTCAGCTCCACCCAGACCCACGGAAAGCTCAGCTCTTAGTCCTAGACCCATAGACACACAACGCATCCAAGTAACTCTGAACGGCCACACCATCTCGCTTCTGGGAGGTCCACAGCATGGCTGGTGTCCTCTCTTAACTACCCAAGGATGGTTTACAGGAATATGGAGATGGAGAGGGAGGAAGGCATTAGGACAGGCCCCAAACTGAGCTCCCCTTCTGCTTGGTTCTCTCCAGAGGAGGCGCAGGCCTGCATGATGCTATCACTGCATGCGTTATCTACACAGTTCTTATGTACACGATACCTTTTGTTTTTTTGTAATAGAAATTTAAAGTGCCTGGGTCAAATGTGCTCACTCCTTTCCCACAGCCTACAGGTTCCTCTTGCCGCTTCCAGAGAGGAGGATGCCCCGGGGAAAGGGGAATGAACGTCTTCACAGCAGTCTTAACTGGGATCCAGCATCTGGACTAAGCCTTCTTCATAAACGCGAAGAATTGCTTCACACACAAACTTGTACTGGCTCTGGGGAGGAAAGGAAAGCCCGTCAAGCCAGCAGCTCTACAGACACAGCCTCTCACCCCAGACACACCTCCTTCACCTCATTCATAAACACCCTGAGCTCCAGCTCCAGTTGGGCCCGGCCCTGGGTTACATCCAGGGGCCCAGAGTGGAGTGGACACAGCTGTGAGCTCATTGTTCTGTGACAAGGGCTGGGGTAGCTCCCAGGGAAAGCTGGGCACCTCGGCCGAGGGGGACCAGCAGTCTGGGGAAGTCCAGGAGGCACAAAGGATGCTGCAGGCTGGCCCTTCCAGCAGATGCCCACTCAAGAGGAGCAGCGTCAGGGGTCACCGTCCCGGCCTGGAACACCTGGGTGTGGGGGCATTGGAGGGAGGCTGCACAGGTGGGCTGGGACCTCGTTGTGGGGGACCCCCGCCCTGGGGTCAGGAGTCTGGATTTTGTCTTTTTGCAAGGACAGCCACTGGAGGTCGCTCTGCAGGATATGGTTCTTTTCATTAACAAACACCTGAGACTTATTTGAGGGATGTGTTCAGGGTGAAGGAAAGCCTCAGACTGAGCTGCACCAGCTAGGAAAATGTGTCCAGAAGACACATTTGAAACATTTTTTTAACTAACAATGAGGTCCTCCATACCACAAAACTGGGCAGAGAACAGTCTTAACGACTTTTTTTTTTCCTTAACCAGATTTCTTGGGTGCGTGCATGCTAAGTTGCTTCAGTCGTATCCGACTCCTCGCAACCCCATGGACTGTAGCCCGAGAGACTCCTCAGTAGAAGGGATTCTCCAGGCAAGAATACTGGAGTGGGTGGCCATGCCCTTCTCGAGGGGATCTTCCCGACCCAGGGACTGAACCTACGTCTCTTACATCTCCTGCATTGGCAGATGGGTTCTTCACCACTCGGGCCACCCAGGAGTGCACATGAATTTAAAACAAAAGTTCCTGTGATGACCTAGTGGGGTCGGGATGGATGGGTAGCTGGAAGGGAGGGGATATTTGTATACTTATAGCTGATTCATGTTATTGTACAGTAGAAACTCACACAACATTGTAAAGCAATTATCCTCCAATTAAAAATAAAAATAATAAAAAAAAGTAAAAACAAGAGCTCACGATCATTAGAGAAATCTTACGAACGTGGGCTGTGAGCCCGTGAGGATACAGAGCTGTGTGCAGGACCCGCTGTCTTCTCTGCTAGCTCCTCCTCATCCATCAGGGGTGGGCTGGGTAGGTGTGGGGGTGTGTGGGGTGTCCTGGAGGCCTTTCCCCCAGAAAGCCCTGCCTTTCCAAGTCAGCTTCAGATGCTCTTCCTGAATTCTCAGACTCGCCTTGGACTTCTCCCACTGCTGCTGAGGTTTATAGTCAACTGATCCAGTCCTACCAGATAAAAGCTCAGGCCTCTTCTGTTGGTGCACTATCTGTTGAAGGGATGAATGAAAGAATAGGGGTGGTCCCTATTCTGCAGATGGGGACACTGAGGCTGAGAGAGGTTAAGAGACTCTTCAAAGTGGCCCCGTACGTGGGGGAGAGTGAATCGTGCACTTCCCCAGAGGCCCCTCGCCCCTCTTGTAGATCTAGGGGAAACCAGAATATTTCCTATTTTTGGGGGGCTGCACCATGAGGCACCTAGATTTAATTTCCTGGCCAGGGACTGAACTTCCCCTGCATTGGAAGGCAGAGACGTAAACCACTGGACCACCAGGGAAGTCCCCAGATTATTCCTCCTGAGGACACTAGCAGCTCTGGGTACGAAGGGGAAGACAGCCCAGAGCAGGAGACAGCGGGGCCCTGTGAAACATCCAGGTGGGGGGGTGAAACCCTCAGGTGACCTCGCTTACTTCTGACAGACAGGTGATGAAGGGTCAGCGGCTGGACAATGCAGAGTGCAATCAGGGCTACTCCCCGATCGGCAGGGAGCAAGCGGCTAGCAGGAGACAAACTGTGAGGCAGGAGAAGCGGAGGACAGCAAGCAGCAGAGGCCGGATGGGGTGAGCGTTGGAACTGCTCAGCCCCTGACAAGCTCTGTGACTGTGGGCAAGTGACTCAGTCCCCCGGGGCCTTGGTCTCTTGACTTGCAAAGCCCTTTGTACAGGCCTGGCCATTGTTGGGATTTTTATTATTAGATTTCTACTCACTGATGTCTGCACCATCATGGCGCGCTGGTCTCGCATTTTCCGAACAATATCCAGTGGGTAAACGGGCAGGTTCCTCTCGATCAGGCACATGGCTGTTTCCATGGTGACCAACACACCGGTTCGACCTATCCCAGCACTGCGGGAAGAGAAGCAGGGGCGGAATTTGCTCAGACAGCATTTCTGCACAGCCCAGCTCAGCTCCCCGCCCGTTCCCACGTTTACTCAGATGGAGCTTTCCTCCCTGACCTTCAAAGGACACGGAACACACGCTCAGGGCATGCTCCCAAACAGGCCAGAGGCTTAAGAAACCAATGGGAAGAAACCCATCTTTCTGTGCAAACTCCACCCCCATCTCCTGCACATTGACCACAGGAACAGACGGAAAGACGAGGTAGGGACTCTGCTGTCCAGTTCTAGGGTGCAGTCAGAATTTGTCCAAATCTTTGAACAGAGTGAAGACAGAAAGCAACCAGAGCCTTGTAAGTGCATACTGAGTCTTGTGGGATGTAGGTGGGTTGGATGCCTGCCACCTGTCTCCAGGCCTTGCCCAAGGAGTATCAGTATCGATAAAACCAGGTCAATAAGCCACAGTACCTGCAGTGAACCAGGACGGGCTCACCGTCCACTCTCAGGGATCGCACGTAGTTCACAAATTCCAGAAAGTCTGCGGAGTCATCGGGGACGCCGTGGTCTGGCCAGGCCACATACTGGAGATGGGTCACTGTGTGGTCCTCCCCAGTCTGCAAAGGGGCAGGGGAGCCTCGCTGATCCATCTGGACTGGTGGGCAGGAGGACCCCGGCCCCTTCCCAGCCTCCGGCCAGCGAGCTCCTGTCTCTGGACGCTCTTCTGCCCGCTGGGGATCTCCCAGCCATGGGCCCTGCCCACTCCCACTCACCCTCCTCCCCAGTGCTCCCAGGCCCCCCCGCCCACCCCCTCCCGGACTCTGCGGAGGCCACCGCCTGCCCGATGGCTCTCCACCACTTCTGCCCACAGCCATCTTTTCCTGGATGCTCCCATGGTACTTGCTGTCAAGGCCACCCACACTGGCTTTTTTTTTTAATGGGCAAAATATACATAACAAGAAGTCTACCATTTAAACATTATGAAGTGTATAGTTCAGTGGCATTAAGTACATTGGCAAAGTTGCACAACCCTCATCACTCTTCCTAGAAGCTTTCCAGCTTCCCAAACTGGAGCACCGTGCCCATTAAACACTACCTCTTCATCCCACAGGCTTGCAGCCCTGGCAACCGCCATCCCACTTCCGTCTCTGTGAACTGACTGCTCCAGGAGAAGTCACATGGCATTTGCCCTTTTGTGTCTGGCCTCTTTCGCTCAGGACAACGTCTTCCAGGCTCAGCCACACTGCAGCATGGGTTAGACTCTCCCTCGCTGTGAGGGGACTAGGATTCCACAGTATGACTATACCACGATCTGTCTACCTGTTTATCTGTCAGTGGACACCTGGGCTGTTTGCCCCGTAGGCTGTTGTGAATATGCTGCCGTGAACACGGATGCTGGCTCTTTTCCAGGCAACCTTGCACATCTACTGAGATGCTCAACGGGTGAAAACCCAGACTGACCCAGAAGTAGAGGCCTCCCTGGGCCCACAGTGGATGTTGATTTAGCACCAGCCTTTAACTCGTGCCTTCCCGGGCCCCCCACAGGCCCTGCCACTTGGGCCCCGCTCACCTCGGTGTTGGTGACCAGCATTTCCCGGAACACATAGGCGATGGTGCAGTCCTCTGACTGACAGCGGATGTGAAAGCTGCCGTGTTCCATGACATCGGGGGGGTTGGGCCAGTACTGGTGACATTTGGTCTGCAAGGGAATCACCGGGCAGGAGTTAGGCTGGGCCGTGGGGGTGCTCGCAAGTGCTTAGCCGGACGGATGGGTCGGACGTTGGGCCAGAACTCTCACTGGCACTAGAGGCTCTGAGAGCTGCTGGGAGGGAAGGAAACGCGGGCAAGGCCGCTCTGCCCTGCGTCTGTGCTGTACTTTTCAGGAGAAGCGGGGCAGTCGGCCTGCCAGGGGCCAGGCCGCAGCTCTCACCCCGGCTGGAGCGCCAGGAGGAATGCACTGACTCTCTTTCCTCATCACCGGGTCCAACTGCTGGAAGGACAGGAGAGCCTCAGACATGAGGGGCCTTGAGTCAGGAGCGACCTCTGCTCCTCACCCTCGCCCACTGCAGGGCCTCTGCCCCTTCCTGCTCTCAACACCCCCTATTCTACCTCATCCCTCCTTCACGGGCCACCCCTTACCCCCTTGAGGAGGAAGGCCTCAAGGCACGGCTACTGAAAGTGCACATTTCAGAGCCAGACAGAACTCCGCTAGGATCCTTCTCTCCTCCTCTGCGAGCCCCGTGACCTCAAACCTGCTACTACTTAACCTCTCCGAGTTCTGCATTCTTCACCTGGGAGACAGGATGGCCCCTGTTTCCCAGATGGTGACAGAGGCTGGAGGGGATGGTGCGCAGTGCCCGGCTCACGGCGGGGCAGGTGGGGACAGGTCAGCGGCCGCCGTCATCACTGCTGTTGCTACAGTTCCACGAGCGCTTCCACATGAGG